GCTAAATTTGTATCTGATGGAGCCAGCTTTGATGATTGATTTGGAGTGAGGAATATAGACTTGCACTACTTAAATGTGGAGACTGCCGAAAACCTCTTTAAGTTTGAGTCATTCTTACATCCAGTGATGTGATGGATGTCAAGGTTAATTTCCAATAAATCCATTAGTAGTCATGGCACTGATGTGCTAGTGCTTGCCATAGAGAAACATGCATAAGTAATAACAGCAACAGGTGTGTCTGTGTTGATAAATTGTTTGTAACTGATTAAGATGTTCTGTTGCTGCACATTGAATTCACTTATATAATAAAATAAAACGTTTCTATAAAAATAAAATTAAAAAAATAAAGTTACATTGCAGTTTATTTTGTTTAGACTTACTCCTTTATTTAATGGTCACAGTGAATTTTTCTGCTCCCTGCTGTAATTCTTCCCATCCTAGATGCTTTATGGTGACGAACTAATATTCTTTTCCTTGTGAAAGCTCCCATTTGATGCAATTTAATATACTTTCCATTGTCAGCTATTAGTGAATGTAAATAATATTATGGATTAATATGGGAAAAAAGTGTTAATCCAAGGGATGAAATACTGAAAATATCAATGAAAACTGGGGTGTAGGAAAGTCATTTCTTAAAAGGCACTTGGTTTGAACACAACTTTGAAATGAATTAAACTTTTCTAAAGTCACTTGTATTAAAACAAAACAACAATGTTGCAATATTAGGTATTTTATATTTTTACCACCCACATACACACAAACATACCATCTATTTTCTTTAAAATGTATTGGGTACTTAATATATGACAGGAATGGTACTAAAGTGTTACTGTGCAATATCTTAATTAATCTTGATAAAAGCTCTATGAGGTAATGGTGTTATTATCCCCATTTTCCTTTTCAGATAGGAAACATAAGACTTAGAATAAATAGCCTGGTCAAGATCATTTAGCTAGCAAACAATACAGCCAGAATTTTGAACCCAGGTCTGCCTGAACCCAAAGTTTACATTCTTAATGTCTTAATTATTCTGTTTCAGTAAGCACATCATATCCTTGTTTCAGAAAGATGCCATTTAAAGGAAATAAATTTGGAAATTTTATTCATCTGACCCACTATATTTTATTGTTGGGATAGTCTCATATTCTCAAAGTTATCAAAAGAATATATGGCAATTTTCTATCTTGATGGAAGGAGGGCTTTAAGAGTATAGTGATTTTGTACAGTTTGATGCAAAATGATTTTTCCAATGTGATTTAAAAAAGAAAAAGTAAAGGAAGCCATGATGTTTATAGAGGTCTGTAGAAGAGAACTGTGCCAGGGCTGGACAGCTAACTCCTTTGCTTATTATGGAATCACACCAATGAGTACAATTCAATGTCTCATTGTGCATACACAAAAAAAAGAAGAGAGATTGTTTTTCAGATACAAGTGGAGAAAATGGACACTAAAAATAATTGCATTCTTGAGTACACTGTAATACAACTACTTTTGCTTTGTTTTGGTGAAACCTAACGAATTGGAAAATCATTGTAAGGAGGACAGAGTAACTAATATGCTTGCTGATTGCTAAGTCGTAACACTTATTGGAAAGGCTGAAATGTGGGATGAAGTCAAATCTTGAGTAATGATACTTGTAACATTTATCTTGCTGAAAATATAGACCTTTAAATTATTATCCTCAAGCCCTGTAACTGAGCAACAAGAAACTTTCATAGTTCCATGAGTTTGGGAAGTGTACCCTAAACTAAATGTTAATCTACATATATTAAATGTTCTGTCATTTCACATTTACATGTCGTTTTTTCTTTTTTTGAAAACACTGTGAGGTGAAAGGACAGTATACGATCATGAGGTACAAATGTCACTTTATGGATATGAGACATTAGAATATGGTAACAGTTGGCCTTGATAAATTCAGACTGACATATCCAATTAACTTTTTTTTGACAGTCTTGTTGTGATAACAGAAACATTTCTGTAATTAAAAAAATATATGGGAGTCAGAGCCTGGTTACTAGGTTTCCTACTAGCTCTGCCACATAACCAGGTTTGCAACATGAGATAACAAGTCAATCCTTATGACTGAATTTCCTCAAATATAACATGAGAGTACTGCTTGCCTTATTTTCCATGCAGAAGTAGAAAAGAAGTGAAAAATTGTTGTGAAAGTGATTCACCATGTAAAGTAAGGTATTGGTTGCTTTACAACACCACTTTACTTGCGTGATTCCAGAAAACATCTGAATTTTTAGATATGTTTCATATTATCAGGTAGCATCTCCAGTTTTGAATATTTTTTCTTAATTCATATGAAATACATAGCCATTAGAGAACACAGTTAATTAAAAGGAAGAAAATATAATTAAGTACCAGCATTCAGAGGCCACTACATCTTAATTTTAAAGAAATCTCCATGTTTATATGTCCTATTTTTATCAATATAGGCTTTACCAAAATATTTAATACTTAATCATCTGCCAAAATTACCAAACAGAAAAATATTTATCAAATAGTGCTTGTTTATTAATATCCTGATGAACAAGCTTCTGATGATGCCAAATAATACTCCTGGAAGGCTCTGGCATTTCTGAAACACAAATCTGTATGTTTTGGATCTTTTTCCTTTCCTTTTCTTTCTCCCTTCCTTCCTCCTCTTTCTTTCTTTCTTTCTTTCTTTCTCTCTCTCTTTCTTTCTTTCTTTCTTTCTTTCTTTCTTTCTTTCTTTCTTTCTTTCTTTCTTTCTTTCTTTCTTTCTTTCTTTCTTTCTTTCTTTCTTTCTTCTTGCACACTGACTAGTGCCTTTGAAATATAACTTACCTATTCTAACTTGAGAGAGCTAAATTTCTTTTATTCATTAGTATCCAAAACATTTAATAGATATGTGCATATCCTTTCTACCTTTGCATTTTCAGAAATTTCTGTTCTATCACTTTTACATTCAATATTATCCTGATATGTTTCTTGGGTCAGGTATATGTACCAAGGCCTTTTAAGACACAACAGGCATATTTAGAGTGTTTTGGAGTTTCTCAAGGGCCTATGAAAATATCTCTGAGTAGAGAGAAGAGTTGCCTCTGAAATTCAAAAAAATGGGGAAAATTGATAGTATCAGCTATTTAATTAAATGTACATCAATGTGATATTGTCATCATTTAATTGGTAAATTTGATAATCATATAAATTTGATGAGTAAATATCTTGAAAATGTATTGCTATATGAGGGGAGACCACTCATATAATAAAATTATCTTCTGGAGGGCAAGCCTCATGTAGTACAGGCTTCCTCTGGTAGGTGAGTGTTCTAGAAACCCATATGTATCAGTGTACCAGCTGGCATTGTTATGAGAGGCTACATTCTGTTTCAGTGAATTTTTTAAAGACCCTTCCAACATGTTTGCCCATTTCACAGTGGATGATTTATGAGCTCACCTGCCCACACTGTGCTAAGTGTCCAGCAGTTTTTGACCAAAAATGGCTTGACCTCTGTACCCCCACCCTCCCTATTCACCCAATCTTGCCCCAAGCACCTTTTTTTTTTGTTTGTTTCCATAATGAAAAAGTCCTCATAGGGAAACATTTTGCTGATGTGAAAGCGGTGAAACAGAAAACAGCAGAAGCATTAAAAGGCATCAAAATCAGTAAATTCAAAAACTGTTTTGGACATTGGAAAAAATGTCTTGATATGTGTATTTCATCAAGTGGAGAGTACTTTGAAGATGACTGAAGTTTAAGTATATAAGAATAAATACACAATTCTTTATAAATAAATTCTGGTTTTGGGAGGATTTCCCCTCATACACACAACTTTTACACATAAGTCTTGCTCTTGGTCAAAGGCACATTTCCATAAACACAAGGTACTTTGTGGCCTAAAATTTAATACTCTTATTGCTTTCCTTACCATATTCAGCACATAATGTAAGCACAATATACGTGCATTGGCATTATTTGTTACTGGAAGGCTACATTCCCTTCCATAAATCATACCCTAAGTTGTGTTCCTGTGATAACTAAAGATCTACTTCTGTGACCCCCTTTAGTGTGGAGGAATATTATATATATATATCTTTTTCCATATCTTTTCCAAATATTCTGACTGAAAGAATTCATGTTATTACATTCCATGAGATTGACTCAAGGAGAGCAATGATGTAAGACTTTAATGCATTGGATGCTTAGTAAACCTGTTTGAAAACAAAACTCTTTTTAAAGTAAGATGGATAATTTACTGACATCAACACTATAAAATAAAATTTGAGCACTCACCGTATGTGGCTATGATATTATTCTCAGTGCTGTAAGGTAGTATTCGCTTTGGAGAAAAAGAATGGGTCTTTTCTTTGACATGATGCTGGGTACTTTGATAGCTACTAGATGTTGCTTGTTAAATAAGACTTGACTTCTATGAATGGGATCCATTATCTCTATTTTCTTGACATGACTACTGGGGCTTATGGCTATTCATCCATTAGTCATCGTCTGTCACATGTGAATAGACCCGTTCCCCATAAAAGTTGATTTACAGCATATTTGCTTCACTGTGCTGTATGACCCTGTCACATCTGCATGCAGCCCTTGTTTCAAAAACAAGTTGATAAATATTTCTTCTCCTTTTGGAAGCATCCAAAGGCAATGTTTCCTACTAAACTGTTTCTTAAAAATGGGCAGAAAGGAAAAAAAAGCCCCATCACATGGTATGCCTGTCCAACTCCATTGAAAATGCAGTAATCTTCCTTTTGTTCTGAAACACCTGCTGGTAGATTTAGTGAGTGTATTAAAAACTGAGCTGCCTTGATATTTCTTTAAAATTAAAACAAAACTCTTCTCTCTTTCTTGAGAATGTTTGATTGAAATCTGTCGCTTATTTGCTTTGCCAACTTTTTTTTTATTTGGCTAGAGTATAAATTTAATATTTTACTGATATGTAAAGATAACAAACATGGAAAAATGTACATATCACACATTTGGACTAATTGGTTTTGTTTTTTGTTTTCCAGCTGGGACAACATATATCTTTAGCAAAGGTGGTGGACAAATCACGTATAAGTGGCCTCCTAATGACCGGCCAAGTACACGAGCAGACAGATTGGCCATAGGGTTTAGCACTGTTCAGAAAGAAGCTGTATTGGTGCGAGTGGACAGTTCATCTGGCCTGGGGGACTACCTAGAGCTGCATATAGTAAGTACTTTTAAAATAAGATTCAGTGTTTTTTGTTCTTTTTTTTTACTGTTAGCTTTTTGTAAGTAACTTATAGTTCAATATTTTGGAATTTTCTCTCTACCAGCAACCGGTACTTTGATGTAGAAAGTATAAATATGCTCTAGAGATAATAAGGCTTTATACCTATTACTGTTTTTAAAAATGTTCTTTATAATAAAAAGTATTATGATTTTGCTTTTTACATGTGATTTCCTCTCAATTCTCTGTTCACAAAGATTTATTTTTGGTGTGTTTTCATGACTTTAGGCATACCTGACAAATTAATAAAGTAAGTTATTGCCCTGTAGATACTGTTTAATCGGCTGGAAGCAGAGGGTTGTAATACTGGTGGCATCAAAAGATCTGGATCCAGTGTCCTTATTTCTTTTCTAACCCAGAAAAGGAGTTGTCTGAAGTTACATGCAATGGATGGAAGAAAAGGAAATTGTAAAGATATTTGAGAATATGAATGAAACTGGCAAAAACATTGTTTCGATGCCATCTTATACTCATTTTGATACATAAATACCAAGAAAATACAATGGATTTTTGAAGTTTATACCCTAGGACCATTCCTTTTTCATCAAACTCTAAGCCTCCCTCTAGAATTTAGTCAGCACATAGTACATGGCAAATAAAAGTTAATAAATGAAAAACTTTCTTTATCTTTTAAAGTTGCCACAACTCACTATAGCTTGGGAGCTCTCTCCTATATCTCTGTATTCAAAGAGCTACCAATTTGTGTGTTGCAATTCCTTATCTCTTCATTTCCTTACAATATTTGCAAAGAAGCACATATAGACTTTTGTTGTTTAGAGATGTTAATATTTTCTTATATGTCAAAGTAAATACCATAAGAAAGTATCATGTTGAAAAACTGTAAAAGGTTTTTATCGTTATAGTACTTGGTCTAGTCTATCTTCTAGAAGTTTCCAGAAGCATATAAATCTCTTCACCTCCCTTTATGTAGCATAATTTACCCCTTCTCCCTCATGTGATCATTGTGAATCTGTTTTGTTTTGTTTTGTTTTTGTCTATCCCTATAAGCTCTCCTTTTACCAGTACCTGTGCCTCAAAGGACATTTGATTAGGTCAACATGTTCTTTCCTGTTAGAAACTGACCTTCAGACACTCATCCTAAAATAATTAGGAAGTCATCAAACACCAAAATATGTTATCACAGATATTTGCAGGGCCTTAATTTTCAAAGTTTTATTCATTTATTTTCTTTAAATTTTATTTATTAATCACAGTTGACATTCAAGATTATATTAGCTTCAGGTATACAGCATAGTGATTAGACACTATATATAGTTATTACAATATTACTGACTATATTCCCTATGCTATACTTTATGTCCCTGTGACTATTTTGTAACTGCCAGTTTGTGCTTTTAAATCCCTCCCCGTTTTTCACCTGTTCTCCACACTCCCCTCCCATCTGGTAACCATCACCAGTTTGTTCTCTGTATCTGTGAGTCAGTTTATTTTCTTAATTTTATTTTTCCATTACACTTACAGAATTTCAAATAAGCTGAGTAGGGGTTTTATCTGACCACAAGCTGAATTCATTGCTAATCTTGGGGAGGAAAAAGAACACTTTAGCACAACCATTATTGAACCCTGTAAATTTACCATTGTAAATATTCATATCAAAATTCAGTTGTCAAAATGGGAACCCTGTGAAAGTAATTTCAGATGCCTTTCAGCAAATATCTAACAATAAAAACTGAAAGCATCTGGATTTTTATAGCATCATAAATAAATAATCAGTTGAGATAAACTTAACTAGTGCAGTGAGGAAAGTTGAGATTACTCTAAACTTGCTGTCTAAACAGCAAATTTAGAGTAATCTCAACTTTCCAAATTTATTGTCTCCATTCTGATTTAAGATCATTGCTACTTCAAAAAATAAATAAATAAAAATGAAAACAAGAGCTTTTCCTCTTGAAATTATTGATCCATATCCAATTACACATTTACCCTGCAGAAAGGTTCTACAATGATCACTCTCAAATCATAAGGGTCACATTCTTAAATTACTCAAACCACTATTGTTTGTTTTATGGTCAAAGAGTTTTAGTCTACAAGAATGTGTTTTTCTCTCTAATTCTGATCAAATGAGGACTTAGGGTCCTTTTCTACATAAAACTTAAGTACCTAGGTGTTCATACCAGCCTAGTACCTTCCACAGCTCCTTTGCTGGCCATGCATTTCTGACAGCGGTCCTGTGAGGGCCTCCATCTTTCTGAACCTCCTCTCTTGGACTTGCCTAGCCATTTGCTTTGAACTTGATATTTGGCTCTATGCACCCTTCCTCTTGGATTTGCTATCTTCAAACTGAGAGCCTGTCCTTGACTAGGAAATGGAAACTGGGCATTGGTTCCCTGATCACTGTTGGTCAATCCTACTCACTCCTGTGTCAACTACTAGGACCCACTTAAGTCTGGCCAACTAAAACTTTCTCTCTCTCCTTTTTCTCTAATTGCCTGCAAGTGGTGATTAGCCTTTAGTGGCTCAGCACATTGCTTATACAAGGGGACAAGTCACTTATTTCCACATTTTCAGCATACTGTCAAAATTAACACTGGGCTGGTGTGTTTTTTTTTTCTTTTTACTGCTGAAGTTTATGACTCCTTCCCATAATTTTGGATATGTGGAACAGGAACAGAAAGAGCTGTTAGATACTTAAAAAGGAAGGAGAGAGATGTGCAGAGGAGGAAGAGAGAGAAAGGGAGAGACTGAGGAAGGGAAAAAAGGAGGATGAAAGAGGGAAAGAAAAGGAAAATGAAGGGTGTGGAGTCTAAAGCTGATGCTTGCCGGTGACAGAAGCAGAAATACTCTTAATAATGATACATTCTTAGATTTGGGAATATTCAGAGGCTATTTTAGGTGACTATTTCGGGACCTTTGAACCTATCCTGATTTTCTCCAAATCAGTCCTGCTTTTTCCAAGATTGGGATTTAAAACAAAAATAGATTTGTATAAGTATGGATTATTACTGTTGTTTGAGTTTGTGTTATGAATATAACTGACTAAAAAATTAAATTGATTGATATTATAGATGATATGATTTATCTATAAAAGTTAGAAATTTATTAAATGCCAGGAAAATTTCTGTAAATGTTCAAGGGCAGCCAGATACAAGCCATGTACTAATCTTCTTTAAAAAATGTGTTTCCACCATTAATTGAGTTCCTCAATAAGCTGGAAAGTTGACAGAACAGATTTAAGGTGCTTCAGTCTTGCCAAAATATATAATGCCATTTCAGTTAGATACTTTTAAAATCTGATTGGCTTATAATGTCAATGAAGATGTGAATATTTGACATTATTTATCATCCTATTTTTCCAAAATGATGTTTAATTTTACTGAAAAATATAATCATATTTAAAGTTTAACTGTACTCTTTTTTTAATATTTAAATATTATATTTTATTATTTTTTTATTTTTATTTTTTCAAATACATTTGTCTCTGTCTTCCCCCCACCACTTTCCCTTGCCCCCTCCCCCCGCAATCCTTCCCCCTTGGTTTTGTCCATGAGTCCTTGCTATATGTTCTTTGACTTTCCCCTTTCCTTCCTTTTCCCCACCCCGCCCTCCCTCCTTCCCTCTTGTCTCTGTTGGTTTCTTTTCCTTTCAGTGTTGCATCTTTGTATTGTTGGTTAGGTTCCGCTTATAGGTGAGATCATATGGTATTTGTCTTTCACCCCCTGTGATTAACTGTACTCTTAAAATACACTAACTTAGAATGAAATAGCTTTCAACTTAGGTTGCCCAGTTTTTATAGATAGTTCTTTTTTGTTATATTGATATCGTAACTGTTACCCTCAGAGTGTTATGATACTACTAGTGAAGTTTGTAAGGTTATATAACAGGATTAAGGGACGGTAAAGACATGAAGCAAGGAATGATTAATTAACTTAATGCCTAAAACACAAGTGCTCAATAAATGTTTTCTGAAATAATAAATGAAGTAATGAACTGTATGTTCAAAATATTAAGACTTAGGCCTAGTATAGACTCTCAATTTCTCAATAGTCAAAGTGAAGTCATAGATGAAGTTTAATTTCTATTTAACTCTGAGAAAGTCAGCTGACTTCTTGTTTACAATATAGAAAAAGTGTAACAACAGCTATACTGTTGAGGGTTGTATATTTTATTGATGTTGTTTTCTGAATCTTTACCTAAGAAATAATTATGGTAGTTGGTTATTTAAAGAAAGTATATGGCGAAAAATTTTTTGGGATGAATGATTAACTTGCCTCAACAATCATTTTATTGGCTCTGCCTGGTGTGGCTCTCTGGATTGAGTACTGGTCTGTGAATCAATGGGTTGCTGGTTCAATTCACAGTCAGGGCACATGCCGGGGTTGCAGGCCACGTCTGCAGTAAGGGGCGCTCAAGAAGCAACCACACATAGATGTTTCTTTCCCTCTCTTCCTCTCTTACCCTCTCTAAAAATAAGTTAATCAAATCTTTAAAAAAAAAATCACCTTATTTTTTGTAACTCACTCATCATAAGTTGTTTTCTGTTCATTTTTTATCTGTCCATTATTTTCAAATAGAAGAAAGCTTTCTGATGACAGAGGACATAATTTATAATAATGATGATTAATAAAAAATAATATAATATAGAAATATGTTTTTTCATTACTTCAGTACATGCTAGATGGCTATTTAGAAATATTTTCTGAGTAACTAATATGGCTCAGGTCTATGTTAGACCTTGTGGGTTCAAAAAATAAACCAGTTTAGTACTTATTTCAACAAATATTTATTGGGTGAATGAATGAACAGGCAAGATGGGATCCTAGTTACCAGGTAGCTTAGATTATTTATAGTCAACATACTTGTCCCGAAGTGACTAGTTTTTCTTGATTATCCCTCCATTGTGGTATATCTTTATTTCTTCCTCTTGCAGTTTTAACTGTCTGATCTGCATAGTATTTGTAAGAACAGGGGCAAATAATAGG